GAACAACTGTTTGGTTACCCAGATCTACAGGTGAGGGTTCAAAATGCAACTAGAGACTTGTAAACAGGGAAGTAAAATGATCTCCCAAAGGAAACCATGGAGATGCCAGGATGGCATCACTAGGCTGTTGTTGTCACCACGAAATAGAGCAGGATATCTGTACCAAAAATAATCTGTCAGCTGTAGGAGTGGAGTAGATGTTTTGGGGTGAGAGAAATCCCAGTGCCACCTTCCCCTAAGGAGGTAACATCCCACCCTGTGCCTGACTTCAGTTAGTACCAGGGCAGTTGTCCTTAGGAAAGAATAGCACAACTGGATGAGCAATGTTTTAACCGTTAACCTAATTTAATTCTTTAATTTTGCAAATAGGCACAAGGAGTTTTGGCACGTCATAGGGGAGTAGAAGCTATAGGCTTTAGAGTTGGAAGGAAAGGCATGAGTTTGGTATAAAGTGTGGGGAAGAATGTGATTCAGCCCTTCCCAAACTGTGCAAAATTACCAACGCTCACCACCTTCTCTGAAGAACATCACTCATCTGTATCATCACACATTTCCTTGAAAGTCTAATACAAGTAGAATCATTTTGTGGACTGAGGGTCACACACCAAGGCTTTCCATAAACTGTACTTGCCAGTACTTCTAATTAATATAATTATATGTATTATAGTAACAGTTTCAGAGGCATTTATTTGGTTTCCATCCTTTCCCTATTTCTCTTCTGCTTTTTTTCTCTTTCTGTTCAGCTTTCAAAATGTTCTTCCCTCTTTTTCTTTGTGTATCAGTAAAACAATGGACTGTTGTTCAAAAAAAAAGCTGTCTTTGCATTATGCCTAAAGGGCAGTCATACTTTTTCTGTAGCATTCCATTGCCTTGGCCTACCTAACTTGTCTTCACCTTCTGGTTTGCATTTGTTGTTTGGTTATTTGTTGGTTTTTTTGTTTTGGGTTTTTTTGTTTTTTTTTTTTTGTTAATTTAGGCAACAGTATTCGATGCTGATGGGAGGCAGAGAGGCAGGTCCGTGAGAAACCCTACTCCTTGCCTATTAAGAACTTGAAAGATTTAGAATAAGGCTTTGAGATAAACTCAAGAACAAGTAAAAGGCACTCAAAGAGCATAAAGGACTGTCAAGAAAAGCTAGTTTGTGGTCCTGAAGTAAATCCAACAGTGTAGGAGTACAATACCAATGCCTACCATTAGCTAAATATAATATTCTGTCACCCTCTAGTGGTGGGTCGACAATACCATAGTTGTGATAGTAGTGATAAAAGATTTTCTCATTGCATGGCTAGTAGAAGACCTTATCACAAGTAGGAGAAACTAGGCTTTAATGTTTGATGACCTGTGTGTACAGATTTGTAATTTTGGTCTCCACTGCGTGTATCTGTAAAGGAATTTTATCTTATAACTTCAAGCGAAAAAATAGAGATGTTAATTGTCTTTGTTGGTTTTGGGTAGATTGATTAACTAAAGAGGTTTTTTTAAAAAAAAAAAATTTCTGTATGCTTCTCTTTGGATAAGCAAGTTGACTGAATTCCAGCCTACAAAGTTAGGGAACATGACTGTCCACGTGAAGCCCATATTGGCTAATCAAATCCATTCTTTCTTAATTCCTAGTATTGCCCATAATAAAAGTTCTGTCTGAACTGTTCATAATAAAAGACTGTCTGATGCTGTACTGGACAAGTGCAACACACATTCAAATCTGTGAAAGCAGTAATTGTGCCTGAAACAATAACATGACCTATGCATCTTATACACTTATTGGTATGTTTGGCAGTAAAATGATATAACAAAGCCAAAATATTTGACACCACCTATTCCATTAGCTTTGGCAATACTTACAAAATCTGAGTTTCTGACCCAGCCTTAGAAAGAGCTGAAAGTGCAATATGCTGGAGAACAGCATTTAATGGGTTCATTTATCAAGCCTCCCAGTAACTGATAACATCGATGTGTTTTACACTGACATGGGATAATTTGCCTTCAGATCACATATGATTTAAAGCATCCTAAGTAACAGCAGAATACTTGGTTTGAAGCTGAAGTGTTGTGCTTTTCACTGGATCAAGAGGTAGGGAAACATCCAGAAGGCCGATTGATAGCTTGAGGCAGCTGGAATGGTCCCTTTTGATCACTTTGCAGATGCTCTTCTCAGAGTCTTATTCATCTCTGGCCAGAGCCTGTACAATTCCTCTTTACATAATTTGGTATTTCAAGTATGAAATGATACTAAGTGTCTGATATCTTGGTAATTTCATCAGTGTGGGCCATGCATTCACTGCGCATGTGAGAACTCAGAATTACCCAATAATTAAATTGGTTCACTGTATGTTTGTTAAAGAGGTGTATGGCAGCATCTTTGTAGTAGTCACAAAGGAAATGTATCAGTATGTCCCAAATAGGGGTGCAAAAGCCTTTCTGATACCTCCTCACCAGGAGGACCTGTTGAACCAATCTGCCCTTAGACACTGCTCAGACCAGTTGGACTCCTCCAGCTACATCCTGGAACAAGGTGTTCTTCATGAGGTGGTGATGCACTTGGTAAAACTTCAAGTTTCCCAAGAAAGTACACACAATACACATCATGTAATGTGTAGAGAGCCTGGGACACTCAAGAGGAGAGCCCTGACCATGCTGCTAGTTAGAAAACCTTCTTCTGAGTTTCTGAAATTTCAGCAAACCTGTCAGTCTTTGCTCCCATATTGGTGAGAGTGTCCTACTGTATTGGGTCTGCCGAAGGTGGAGTTAATTTTCCTCACAGCAGCCCTCATAGAGCTGTGCTTTGTATGGGTAGCTAGAAAGGTGGTGAGAAGACGCCAGTGTTTTGCCTTGCCCAGCATCGGGGCTGTCTCCCCAGTGTGCCCCCACCCACCAACAGGCTGGGCATGGGCAGGATCTTGGGAGGAGAGGTAGCCAGGACAGCTGACCAAAGGGATATTCCATGCCACATCTGCTCAGCCATAAAAGCTAAGAGGAAGGAGGAGGAGGGGGTCATTTGTTACATATGATGTTTGTCTTCTGGAGCAACCGCTGCTGAAGCCCTAATTCTCGGGAAGTGGCCGGACATCATCTGCTGACATGAAGTAGAGAATAAGTCTTCTGCTTTCCTTTGCTTCTGCATGCAGCCTTTGCTTTTGCTTTATTAAACTGCCTTTATCTTGACCCATGAGGGGCTTTTTTCCATCTTATCTTCTCCCCACCTGTCCTGCTAAGGAGGGGAGCGATAGGGCGGTTTGGTGGGCACCTGGTGTCCAGCCAAGGCTAAGCCACCACACCTACAAATACAACGGGGAAGAGAGGGGGAAGATCTTTCTTATGAGAAACGTCGTCACATCGTTCAGTGTACCAAAAAAATGGCAGATTTGGCACCTACTTTCAGGTTTTATCATTTACTATCTGAGTTTTTCTATCTGAATCCTGCAAACATGCGTATGGTGCCTATGGCACACGGGTGCATCCACATGCGAGCAGAGCCAGGCAGATCCACAGAGGCAGAGATTTGCATTCAGTGTATCATAGTCATTTAATTTCCCTTACTTTACTGGAGAAAACAAGGGGTTTTTACTGCAGTTACACTTTGGGAAAATGAAGTTCTCTTTCTCATCTTTACCATTGCATAGAATGAAGCTGTTTCAGTAACGCATGTGTCAGCGGATCGTTGGTGGTGGCACATCCTTCAGAAAGAATACAAACAGACGTCACTGACCCTGGAGTGCTGAGAGTAACATGAAACTTATTCTGACTTGTAAACTGAGCAAACATGACATGGAGGTCACAGAATAAGGGCATATATGCATCTTTCAGCCCTTGTTTTGACAAAGTGACTTCTTTCTCCAGAGGGACATTTCTGACATTTTTTTTCCAGCATGTTTCACCTTTCAGTGGCTATTAGTACCAGTGTGACTTATCTGCAAATTATGATTCCCACCTATAAGCTCATGGGAGTTAATTCTTAAATTATTTTCATCATTTATTTGAGCACACAAGTTAGCACTCAGAAAATAAGGGTATGGAAAACAACAAATTGAGTTTAAATCAAATGAAACAAGTTATAAATATTATGATAAAGAATATCAGGAAAATTCACATTCATCATGGAAATTTTTTTATTATTAGCAGCTTTAAGAAATCAGGGTAGACCATAACATTTTTGAAAAATCTGTACATTTTCTAATATTCTCTGCAGTATTCTTGAGCTTTCCTGTGTCTGATGCAGTCTAATGTTTATATTAGACATCAGTATTAAACAGAATTTTCAGAACTTTATGAACTGGATTAACAAAGAAATTTTTGCTAAAAGTGAAATTATTCAGAATATTCCTATTTTTCTGAACGCATGACTCCTGAATATTTGATACAGGCGTGGATAGCATCCCAGCATAGAATACTTCAAAATAAAGGTATGGGCACAGCAACTGGCGTATTTATTCAATGCAGCAGAACAGCTGTGGAGGGGGTTTAGCCCCTTCATCATGTTAGCTAGCTGATAAAGCACTATTAGCAGTTATCAATGTGTGTGGTAAAGGACACTGAAATTCTTATCCATGGTTTGCAGATGGGAAAATGAGATATGTCAAAGATCACTGCAGACTTTTGCTGGAACCCACCCTCCTGAACCTGTTTTCAACTAGCCCATCAAATTTAGCGACAATAGTAGTGGCTGCTTATGTGAACAAATGTGACAGGCTTAGTTGCCTTTGTTGTGTAGGTTATTAGGTCAGTGATACCAGCTCCAAGTTTGGAAAAAGCAAAATGTCAGGCTAGATGAGGAAGCAGAGGGGCTAAATTCTTTTTTTTTTTTTTTACAATGCTGAAGAGAGCTGTGTAAGGTAAAAGGGATTAATTATTTTTCTAGTGTAATAACCAAGCTCCATGTCAAGGACAATTTGATGATCCAGACATGTTTTCCCATGGTGGGACTCTTAAAAAGACTTCAAGGGGGAGAACAGCAGCTTTTTGTAGCTTCTAAGTATAGTCTGGCTTTTGTTTTTTCTCAACAGAGCTACAGTGAACCTGTTGATGTTAAAGCCTCCCCACAGCCTCAGATGATGAATTCAAAGCAGTCAGTGTTTCACGGGCCCAGCCAGGCTCACTCTGCACTGTACCTCAGTTCCCACTACCACCAACAACCCGGAATGAATCCTCACATCACTGCCATGCATGCCAACATTCCCAGGAACATAGCGCCCAAGCCCAACAACCAAATGCCAGTGACTGTTTCCATAGCAAACATGGCTGTGTCCCCACCGCCACCTCTGCAGATCAGCCCCCCTCTGCACCAGCATCTCACCATCCAACAGCACCAGCCGATTTCAATGCAGCAGTCCCTTGGGAACCAGCTACCGGTGCAGGTCCAGTCTGCTTTACATTCACCTACAATGCAGCAGGTAAGTTGGAGCTTTTCAGTTGTCTGGGGAAATGTGGTTTTTTTGAGAAAAAAGAAAAAAGTCATCCAGAATTTGACATAGTGGCGGAGATTTAGAGCCATGGAGTTCCAAAACCACAGTATTATAGACTGAGGACTTAGTCTTTCAAAGGCAATAACAAATGAGTGAGTTCACCTAGATGATGGGGAACTTCAGTGGAAGGGTTTGTGCTAGCAACGATGTTCAGCACATTCTTCTGAACACTAGCCCTGTCTCCCCACCAAATTCAGGAGGCATCCTTGAAACAGAAGAGTGTTTATAGAACCATCTACAAATCTGGGAGTGCCCTGAAATAGAAGGGAAATGTTAAGTCTTCAGGCGTTATATTTTACAAACAAAAGGCATGGATGTCTAACAAAAGCGATGACTGTAGCACTTGCTATTATCCATGGACAGCCAGAGGAAGCACGAAGCAGCACAGGTTGTGTTCAACATGCTCGATAAAGTGTACACCAGTATGTCAGTTTATGCTGTGTTCAGAACTTCATTTAGCTAGATGTACACACCTTTTTTTTTACTGCAAATAAGTGGGCTGTCCCCAGTATCCCAGTATGGTGGCTTTTTTTTTCATTCTCAATGTTTTAGATACTTGATTTACAATACGTTTCTGAAGAGTTCTGAATGAGTGTAGGCCAACCATAGAAGTGTGACTTTTGAGCCCAGGCCTGTGGAGGCTTAGAGCAGATTAACTGCTGATTTCATGAGACAAAATTTCCTTTTTTATTGTATGAGATGTGACTATCAGTAATAAGACCTTGCTTTGCAAAGAAGCATTAGAATGAAAATTTTTTTGATGGAGTTGCAAGAATCTACAAAATTTTTATGCACAAAACTTGTCAGTTCTGGTTGATAATACATAGTCGTTAACTTGCTGCATGTTTTGAATGTCTCTATAAATTCACCTTTGCTAACAAGGCTTTCCAAGCTGGAAACATTTCATCTCAAGATTGGTCTTTAGGGATGGGAATGCCTGAACACATAGCTTCTAGCTGAGAGAACAATTTACCAGGGAAAGACATTTTCCAAAGCAGAACAAAAAAAAAAAGAAGAGTTGAAAGCAATCTGGACAGAAAAATTTAGTTCTTCAGAAGGTAAACCAAGGTGTGCTCAGGCTGCTCTGGATTTTTTCAGAGACTGATCTTAGTCTCAAGAGTGATTTGGAGTAATCAGACAGGAAGGAAAATTTGTGAAGTGTTTACAGCTTTTTCCTAGTCCAGTTTATTTTTCATGAGCAGAGTAAACAGAGTAAACAGACTTAGGACAACACAAATGTGGTGTCTTTTCCTGAAGGTTTTCCTATTAGTTAGAAACTCAGTGTCCTGGTGTGAGCGTCCCAGGAGAGCCCATGCTCAAGTCTCAGGAAAACTCAGGAGTTAACGCCCAACCTAGGCAGCAAGAATTAGCTACAGAAGTCCTAGACAGGTGAGCCAGGAGGGTCTGTCTGGAGATCCTAAGCCTGATACAATCCTGGCTGAGCATGAAGGCTCAGAGCAATGAGAGACAAAGCAATGGAGAGAGACTCAATGCAATAGCCTGGTTCATCTACCAAACATGAAAAACGACATCTGTGACAGCGGCCTGTTGAGATTGTATAGTTATATTTCAGTGAGTTTTTATTGCAAAGTGATTCAGTCTTCCAAGTTCAGATTGTTTGCAAAGTTCAGTGTCACTTGTACATTACTTGTGCAATGCGGAGTTATAGAAGATCAAAACACTTGTGTCTTTTCCGAAATCATTGAAAGGCATAATTTACTGAACAGATTTGAAAATCTGGCTTTCTTTATTGAATTAACTGTACAGTAGGGGCTAGCAAAAGATTTAATGCAGATGTTACATACATATGTATACGTACAACTTCATCATTATTGTATTAACCCAAACACTTAGTCATTATTCCAAACATATTACAAAAAAGGTAAATAATATGAATCTTCTAATGCTTTATTTTACCAACTTGCATTCTTGTAGCATGTGGAGAGCACATCAATGGCTTGAGAGTACTTTCACTTATCTGTGAGATGTGTGGCGTGCAGGGAGTTATTTCTATCTTGAGAGAAAACACGGGGCACTAAGCTGTAGAAGAGTCTAGAAGTCAATAGGTAGACCTGTACCATGATGGGTCTTTTGCTTTACTAAGTGCAAGTACGGTGATGTAAAAAATGCTCTGCCTCTGTGTTCCTGCTCTCCACTGTTAAACTCATGAAAGATTAGCTTAAATACTTTTTACCAACTCATATTCCTTAGTTAGAAAGGCTGATGCTTCTAATGAAGATACCATGGTGAGATATTTCTGAGCTTCACTCCAGGTGACAGGTGCTTATTACCTGCTGAAATGCTACACTGCCAATCTTAACTATATTTCTCTTTAAGCACTGTGGAACATCTACAAGCCAGTTTATATTTCTTTATGCTCCTTCTTTCATTTCAAAGTAATACAAGTTTTGAGCTCTGGAAAATCTATGTAATTTCACTCTGAAATGTTTGTAACATTTTTATGTATGTATTTATTTATTAGCATACAACAGTCTACACAGTTTGTGAATTGAGTTTAAATACAGAATTCATTTCCTTTAAAGAGGGATGTTGGCAAAGGCAAAGCAAGAAATGTTAGAAAACATTATTCCTGGGATTTCATCCTTCATTAGAGCACAGAGGACAGGCTGATCACCAGGAGGCATGTAGCAAGAATTCAAGAAACTATAACTTGAAAGTAAAGTCCTCCTTCTGCCTCAGTTGTCAGAAGACTCTGCTCTCCCTCCTGCTCGAAACTGGGCAAACACTCTGCTGATCACAGGGCACGCTAGGGAGGAAAAAAATGTACTCGGAAAAAAAAGGGAGACCTTGAAACAATGACAGCAGCACAGAGTCAACAGCAATGAGGACAAAGAAGAGGTGTAGCACCACCCTGCATGTCCAGCCCATGTTGAGGAGGGAAGGAGGACTCTGGATATAAGGCTCAATCCCCAGCAGGATGGTGCAGACCACTCCACCCTATAAAAAGACAAACAAGAAAAACTGGAGAATATGTAGTCTGATAAAGCAGAATTGATAGGTGCATTTAATTCAATTTTTTTTTTCAGTTCCTCTTTCCTCAGCTGTTTGGTTTCCTCCATGCTAAAGGGGCAGCAACCCTAAGCCTTTTCCAGAGACTCCAGTGAGCATCCAATTTATGTAAAGGAGCAAGAACAGAAACTAATCAACATCCCGCTCCCTAGAGCATGGCTTGCAGCAGGAGACATTTTCCTTTCAGAAACATCACCACCACTCATTTTCTCATGCCACACTGCAGTGTGAAGGGCCAAAGAGGAGAAGTCTACCTAGCAGTCTTCTACCACAGGCTCACCTGGATGGGCACCACCATTGCAGACACACAGCTGTGCTGTAGATGTTAGAAGCATCAGTCACAGATCCCACCCAAGGTGGGTTCTTATTTTTTTTCCCAACATCCACCTTTGAAATAGCTCATGGCTTGCTAGTGTGAGACTCGACAGTAGCAGGCTCTGGGAATCCCTGCTCTCTGCAGATCCTCTGCTTTAACTCTGTGGCTCTGGGAGATCTGGTCATGCACTGTTCTCCAGGAGAGAGGATGGTTTCTTATCAAAGACCGTCTCGTATTATGTCCGAAGGACTGCCAGTGCCAAGAAACATCACATAGAGCTCCAGATGTCAGTCCTGGCAGGCAGGAAGAGAGGTCTCCAAAACCACTGTATGTGAAATGAACAAACAGTTATTCTGTGTGTGACTTCCAGGAGGGACGGAGAAGAAGTGCTGACCTAGGGAGAGAGTTCTGCCCCCGCTGCTGCCAGGACGATGAGCTGATCTTCATCATCTCCGCAGGGAACAGCCTGTCCTCCTTTACTTCCAGCAGCCCTTGCCTGCACGCGTGCAGCTACCAAACCAAGACAGACTGCAAGTTGGAGAAGGGCAGTCTCTTCCAGGAGTCCACAAAAACTACAGAGCATCAAGATCAGAAGTGTTGGTAGCCAAAAATCTTCAGTGATTGCGCAATTTCTGTTATTTTGAAAATCGGTTAATGCTGTGGAGTATGCAGCTGAGGCAATGCATCCAAATTGTTCTGAAATGCACAAGGCAGTGTAAAATTCAGGTATTGTCATTTTGGTCATATGCCTAGCATTAGTAAATATTTTTAAAATTCTCTTAAACAATCTTCTGTAGTTTGAGTTAACTAAATATTTTTTGTAACTTCCGCAAAGTAGACTATTTTATCTCTATTCCTTTCTGTTCCAAAACAGTTAATGAATAAATTAAATAATAGACATGACTATAGACCTTTGGTGTGCTCGTTTACAGTGTTAACCCTTTACACTGTAAAAAAAGGACCATTTAGTTCTATTCTTATACTAAAATTTACATTAGATTCTGACTTCGATGATATTTAAGTTCTAATTCTGAAATATACCGTCTTTTTCTTAATATTATTAACAGGAGCTGTGTTAAAGTTTTACTTTGTTAAAGTCTAAATCTACTGTGCATCAATTTTTCTTTCATCCACTTTTGACACACTGGAAGTATCCCAGTAGATTAGAAGAGTGACTTTTTCCTTCACTGTATGCTCCTGTGAGCATCTTATCACTTTATCATTTTTTACCTGATGTGGAGTTGCTTCACTCCAGTCTGTTTCTTAGTCTGTCCCATTAAAATCTCTGTCCCACTTCGGTTCGCCAGTAGAGCAAGCAAAATTTGATTTTTAATGTCTAGTAACCATGGCTGCAAGTGTATGCATAACAAAGAAGCGGAAGATTAATGTATGTCACATTTTATTTTTATTTTTTTTTAAATAATAACTCATTTCAGCCTCCTTTTAGGTATTTCTTTTCCTTTAGAAAATAAATGTTTACAGCAAGATTATTGCATAGCCTGCCAAAAATAATAGACTCATTTTTTCTAGTATATATTATATACAGTAAACTCAGGGACCTGTTGTATTTGTCCAAATTTCTTCCCCTTTTTTGTTATGCTTTGTCTTCCAATGAGGTCAAGAAAAAAAAAAAATCATTAATATCTGTCAACTTCCTTTATAACCTTAAGGAAAAATCTTTGTATGATATCACACAGACAGATTTTCAATTTCCTTGTGTAATAAACAGATGCTTTAGGATTTGGATGTAATTTAAAGGTTTAAAATATCACATTGAGATTGATGAATAAATCAGTTCTGAAGACAAAAACATTGATGCCTGTTGAAAATACCTCTCCAGACAGGCAGGAAATGAAATTAGTTCCCAGTAAAGTGTGGAGATGAGGATCACTCTTTAGTTCTGCTGCAGGCTTTTTAGGACTTGCTACACCGGCACAGGGAAACTGCTAGGGCTACAGAAATCTAATTAAAGAGCAAATGTCCCTCCTGACATCGAATTAATCTTTATCAAGTTCCCTATTTTTATTTCAATCTGGAACAAGAAAATGAAATTTAAAATTCCAGGCATGTTACAAAACAGTTGGTGATTTTCTCTTGCGCATTACAGTGCAAAAACATTCAGTATTGTTTAATTAGACCTCGGAGCACTCATGTTCTGAGCACTTTCAATTTCATCATTGTTTGTTAAGGGCTTACATCAATAATACACAAATATTTACTACAAGCCTGTTACAAGGCTCTGTCCCTCTCCTGTACAGATCTATATTTCTGGAGGTTTTTCTGTTGATGAAAAAGCTGGAGTAATTATTGTTTACATTCTAAACATCACCATACTTTATCAGTCCTTCATATTGAGTTCAGGTTTCTTAAATTACTTTGCCTCAGCCAGCACGCTTTCCCGCACCCACATTATTACTTTTGCTGCTGGTGTTCCCGTAGCCCTCAAGCCGGCTGGGTGCTGGCCAGTGCTCAGACCACCTTAACATAGAGTCACAGAATGGTTTGGGTTGGAAAGGACTTTAAAGATCACCCAGCTCCACCC